CAGTGGTGCCCAGCGCCAGGACAAGGGGCCATGGGCACAACCTGAAGCAGAAGAGGTTCCAGTTGAACGGGAGGAAGAACTTGTTGACTGTGAGGGTGCCCGAGCCCTGGCCCAGGCTGCCCAGGGGGGCTGTGGAGTCTCCTTCGCGGGAGATCTTCAACCCCCGCCTGGCCGCTGTCCTGTGCCCCGTGCTCTGGGTGAGCCTGCTTGGGCAGGGGGGTGGCACTGGGCGAGCCCCCGAGGGCCCTGCCAGCCCCATCCGTTCTGGGATTCTGGGATTTCTGGAAAGTGAAGCTCACCTAGTCCATTGACACCTTGAGATCCAAATTGCGGATGGGCATTAAACCCTGACAGCAGGAACCTCGGAGCCATTGGTTACTGCTGGTGTTGGTTATGGCTTACAGAAAACCTTCTGCAGCATCAGTTTGGGGTCATGACTGCGAAGAGGCCCCATTCGCATTAGTGAAGAGTCTAGAATATTTAACTCTCCTTTTGGAAGAGCACGGGATTTTCATCGTAAACACGATAATCCCTGCAAAACCAACTCTGATCCCAAAGGACAAACAAGGCCGTTTTTGTTCAGAGTCTGTACTGGAGAATGTACAGGCGTTGATTCTCCATGGGCTCCTTTTGGCAGCGGCTGGTTTTTGTTAACAAGGATGCAAATATTGATCATTTTTCTGTCAAGCCTTGTGAGCGCAACTGAATAAAACAATTTACAATTCCACGGCCTTTTCCTGCTCCCCAGCGTAAGAGATTGGTTTTGGTAGAAAGCATTTGCAGCCTGAGAGCTTCCAGCCCGTGCTAGGGAAGTGCCCCGGCGAGGACGTTCTTCATGCCTGCTCCTGCTCAAGTGATGCTAATGTATTTTGAAAAACTTTCTGGAGAAGTTCAGCAGTTTAATGGTGGCCGCCTCTGTTCATCTCGTGCTGTTCTGCTCGGGCTCTTGGCAGCTGCGTGGGAACGCCGTCGGGAGCCCTCAGCACCAGGAGGACATGGACCTGTTGGAGCGGGGCCAGAGGAGGGCTACT